GGTGGTTCTGCACTATTTCCAGTTCACAACTAGACTATGATGATGTGACTTCCACTGAACAATAAAAACCCCAAAACCAAGAGTCTGCGGCACAAAAGCTTTAAGCAATCTGAGTAACCCACCATCCTCATCACAAGGGACTTCCATGCACATCTATTATTCCAGAATAGAATAATTCAACGGAAAGGGATCTACAGTGATCATCTAGTCCAGCTGCCTGACCACTCCAGGACTGAAGGACAAGGACAGCCTCAACAAGGACAGACCTCAACAGATGGGCCAAAGCRGCAGCATTTTCCTTTGACCCTCTGCACCAGTTCAATACAGGGCTCACTTTTACACACTCATGTGCAAAGTTTTCAATATTCCCTTGGGGGAGTGGGAGCACCTGAAACCCACTGTGCAYGACACACTTGCACATGGACAAGACAAACATAACCACTCCAAGACAGTCCTAACAGCACAGGAACATTCAAAACATTGCAGGGGCCGCATGCACCTCTCAGCACTGATGGATTTCATTCCTACCTCCATCACAAAGGCTTCTTATCTCACAAATTACTTTCCCAAAGCAAGTGTACAAAGTCTTTTTCTCCCTCTGAATCACTCAGCTACCAATCAGATGACTTTTTGTCACTTCAGCACACAAGTTCCTGGCCACAGTAGTTTTGCAGAGTGCCTCTAATCCACCCACCCAGGGCTATTTTCTTTTTTCAAGCAATTTGGTGTTTAATAACTACCTGAACACTTGACCCATCCTCCCACTCCCCCAGGACCTGGCCTGAACACATGCTGTTTACACAGCAGCCCACGCAGGAGCTTGGCCAGCTCCTTCCAGGATCTGGCCCGAGCCGCCGGGCACGGCACGCTCTGCCAGCCGGACTTTGTCCCAGGCAGCTTCTGAGCCAAACCCTGCCTCAGCTCCACCCTGGTTCACTGCTGTTACAGCTCGTTCTCCCTGGGCTGCACCAAATCATTTTCCAGAGTGGAGAGAATAAAATCAGAGGAGCTTGCACACAAGTGACAATTAGTTCTGCATAAAATGGTGGCCAGCCTGGGGTTTAACTCAGGAGAGCAAAACCAACCACTGATTCTCATTAAATTCTGAGYCACTTGGTCTCCACTAACATTTATATTAGGATCTTCCAGCCCAGAAAAAAGGTGCTTGGGGAATGCATTTGGGAGTTGAACCTTTAGAGGGCACAGATGATACACCTGGTATACAGGTGTATCTCAGAAATACAGGTCAAACCCTCTGGGTTCCATCCACAGACATTTTAAGCACCCTGGGATCAGAAGGTGGCACCTGAGACCAGACACAGACATGCAATGGTGTGTCCCCACCCTGGTCACAGAGATGGGGATGTAGAACTGCAGGGGTCCCCATCATGGGCCAGGCTGATGCTGCTTCTTCCCCCATCCTGGTCTCAGCCTGGCCCCAAGCCCTGTGGCTCCGGGGAAAGCTCCTGGAGCAACATCCCCAGCACTAAAACAAAGCAGGGAGCCAGGTACCCCCCACCTGCAGCCCCCTACAGCGTTCTTCTCTTTCTCCTCATGTCCATGTGACAGGTCTGCTGCAGGGAAAGGCTGCCCAGGGCCTTTGAGGAGCAAGACATTCATTTTTAAAGGAGATCTTCACTTTTAATTTCTTGTGTTATGGAACAAGACTGGGCYAGACTGATTGGATCATAGAATGGTTAAGGCTGGAAAAGATCTCTGACATCATTGAGTCCAATCATTAACCCAGCACTGCCAAGTCCACCACTCACCCATGTCCCCAAGTGCCACATCTACACTGTTTTTGAACACTTCCAGGGATGGTGATTCCACCACATTCCTGGGCAGCCTGTTTCAATACCTGACCACCCCTCTGATTTGGGCACTGGCAGCATTTTAGTGACTAACAGGCAGATTACTTGACCAGACCAGATCAGAACTCTGGGGACAGACAGAAAGCAAACAAAATGCCCACATATCCACTCTCCTGCGTGCTCACCTGCACCTTCACAGACAGAAAACCTCTCATCTTGCTTGTCTGGTGCTCACCACAGCACTGRCCACATCAGATAGATGCTCATACCATGCGGGATATGGGGCAAGCCTGCAGACAGTGTGGCACATTTCAGGCACAACTGAGATGAATTCACRATCTCTGCATCTCACACTGCACTCAGCAATGGCAGAAAAGGTGCCAAAAGGAATGGTGAACTGCCCTGGCTTGCAAGGCTGCATGGTGGGGACAGGGAAYTGCTCCTCGAAGAGACTCACCAAAAACACCTGGTCACCTATTTMCCTTGTGGAGCTTGAGTAGCTAAATAAACAAACCCTGGGGATTGAGRGTGAACCTGCCAGGTTCAGCATCAGTGGGCCATTTATAGCTTTCCTAYAAAGTGTCTGGGGAAACGATAAAAAATAAAAAAATTTAAATCCATATTCCGCTTCTCATGGCTCTGCACTGCACTTTCCACCTCCCCAGTGCACAGCTGCCATTCTGCATATTTCTGTGCACACTGTGCTTGGCCTGTGCTCTCTGCAGAGGGGAGTGGAAGGGACTGGGTCCAGCAGCCTCCTGCTGCTGTCAGGCATCAGCGAGCACCATCCCTGTCTCCCACAGCTCCTCGCTGCGGGAGCCAGGCTGCGAAGGGCTCGGCCACCTCCCGTGAAAACCTGACGCGTGGGATGCACATCCCTCTCCTGTGCTGCATCTCAGCATCTAAAGAGCCCAGGGATTTGTAGAGAGATGAAATGTGCTTCCTTTGGCCAGATGAGCTGCACAGGTTGAATGGCAGTAGAATCTTTTTTTTTTTTTTTTCCCTCTCTTCCTTCAGATGATCCCCTCAGTCTGGAGAGCCAAGGTAGACTCAGAGSAATCACTCCCTCCTTTCTTCTACGTGTAGACAGCTTGTGCACTCCAAAGCCAGCTTGCCTTCCTCGAGCAGTCTAATAAAAGATATCCCTTCTAACAGCAAACCCTGACTCACTTCCCTCTAGCCTCGACCAGGAGATCTCCGACAGCAGGGCCAGATCCACCGGAGCAGAGGATTCTGCCAGCTCTCGCACTGGTTCCCACGTCCATCTGGGGTGAGCGGGGCTGGAAGCACATCACTTTCCATGCTGCTGCAGCACACTCCATCCCACGGCTCCGCCAGGGAGCCAGACACACCGTGTGATCCTCGCCGGCTTCTTCCCAACGGGAGAATTCACAGAGCATCGAGTCCAAGCTGCAGGCTAAAATCACGAAGCATCATCAAGCAACAGGAACGTTCCGGACGGGACGGAGCCGCTCCTCTGGCTGCCGCAGTCGCTGGCTCTCCGCGTCGGAGTCGCTTCGTCTGGGTGAAAATCCAGACCACGTCTCTGTGCATGAGCACACTTCCCTCACAGGGCTCTAACAGCCTCCAAAAAAATTAATGCATTGCCCATCGGCACACGCTGACAGGGCAGAGCTGTGGGTTTCTGGTGGAGATTAAGCACCCATGGAAAAAATTGTGGACCAAAACTCATTCACACGAGGAAGGTATAAAAGGTCCTTTACATGCACGTCCCACCAGGCTGGCAGCCCATCCAGCCTCACGTCCTGCCTCAACAGAGCAGCCTTTACAAGCTGCAAAACCTTCCCAGGGCAAAGGCAATGCCCAGCCATGGAGGTCTGCTCTGATCTGCAGGAGCACTGGGAAACCTCGAACCCCTGTTTATAGCTAATGTCAAATCAGGGGTTCTGGAAACTGGCCCATCTGACACAGGCAGCCACAGGCAACCTCCAAATGCAACTGATCTCATGCACACCTGAGGAAACGCTCCCAGGAGCTGCACTCCATGCACGAATCCTGCACGGAGCTACATGAAACTGCACATACCAGACTGGAAATAAATCCAGAAGGTGTCACGGAGAGAAATTCCCCCAAAACTGCTTACTCTCACAGAAAAACCTGAAAGAGCTTGACCCTGGAAATTCCTGGGTTCACTTAAACCCTGCACGAATGCCAAGTGAGCTCACAGTTTTTAGTCCATGCACCAGCAACACATGCAAGATCCTTCCTCAAACCACGAGCAAATCCACTTCCAAAAACTACTGGATTACAAGACGTGAATTAAAGAGGCTAAGAGCAGCAGCCGAGGGAAAAGCCGCTCTCCGAGCTGTGTCAGGGCCAGCAAGAGCTGCACTTGGCCATTGTGCACGACCTGCTCAGCTGGCCCACGGCTGCCACCTCTACGCTGCTCCTCCCCGCACAGCCGCGGAGGRCAGAGGTTTGGTGCCGGTAGAACAAACCCTTCCTGAGCATCATCCCGATTCGCGGCACAGCCCCACGGCAGCCGCTCGCTCCGTCCAGGTGGAAATCCAGCTTTCCCAGCTCCGCCGGCCACTCGCACCACGCAGGTCGGGGCTTCGGGTCCGTGCATGCCGCGGAGCCTTCCTCCCCGCGCTCATCCCATCCCCAGCGCTCCGGACAGACGGTGCAGGGAGAGCTTTGCAGGAGAGGGAGGGATGGCCCAGTACCCTCGCATCTCCCTGGATGCTTTTCCAGGGGCTCGGGACCCAAGCGAGCACATCCAGAAACCGCTGGCTCCAGGCGTTAACGCATCCCAAAACGGGTACTGGAGTCTAATCCCGGCGCCCGCCGTCAGCAGCTGCAGCTGGGACAGGAACCCAGACAGCAACCTGGGGAAAGCAGTGACCCGAGAGCACCAGCACAAAGCGGGGAGCCCCGGGGAAGGTCAGTCCTTCAATCCGCTGCGCACCCGCGGACACGGCAACCCGCGCCCCGTCTTGGGGAGCCGCTCCAGCCCCCGCTCGCCCCCCACGGCTCCCCAAACACAGCCGGAGGRGCAAGCTCCCACTTGCAAGGCTAGCAAGGAAGGAAGAAAAAAACCACGAAAGCCAGACCCGGCTGCAAAACTCTCGGTCACCRCTGCAGACAGTAAAATAATTAAAAGAACGAAACTATTCGCGGAGGCAAGGACTCAACACCCGCGGAAARGGGGGTTCAGGACGGACTTACCGGSGTCACCCGCGGAGGGGCATACGCGGCCACCCGGGGCTGGTGTCACCACCGTGGGTCCCAGCGGCTGGCGCGGCTCCGAACAGCTCAGCTCGGCTCGGCACCGCTCGGCTGGAGCTCGGCTGGGGCGGCGCACAAAAGCGGGAGGAAGCGGTGACGCGCGGAGCCTCCGCGGCCAATGGGACGGGGATGGGCACGGGGGCGGACCGGTCCCGCCAGCGACCGAGCGAGAGGAGCAACCGCGGGGCCGCGCCGTGCCCCGCCTCTGGGGGGCGACACCGGGCGGCTCCGAAC